ACGCGGCCCTCGGCTGCTGTCTGCGCCCCCTGCTGGCCGATTCCCGCGCCGAGGGACTGAAAAGCGGCCTCTCTCGGCCTCAGGGCGCATGCGCTGGTGCGGTAGGACGCTCTCGCTGTGGCTAGTGCAGGCTCTCTGCATCCCAAAGGGTCGCAGCAAAATTAAGACCGTTGAAAAATTCATCAACACAAAACTCCAGGGCCTGCAGGTCGCGTTGTGGGTAAGGCACTGAACTCCCACATATGTAACAACAGTTTGAATCCTGGACCCAGGCCTTGAATCACTCTGAACACATGTGTCTGCATGCCCAAAATCCTGGCCGGAGAATGGAAGAGAAGAGATTGCACCATTATCATTGGTGGTGCGGGAGAGGGGTGGTGGTGGTGGTGGTGGAGATTTCTCACTTTCCCCCTCGCTGTGTCTCTCAAGGGATTGGCCAAAACAAAAAATGGTTGGGCTAGCTGGGTGGCGTAGATCCCATATGGACACCGGGCAGGTGGGCATGCCTCCTCTCCCGAGAGGAGAATGGAGAAGAAGGGATTGCAGCGTGGCCATCCCTAATGGGGATGGTTTTTTCCCCCCTTACTAGCTGGCGCCAGGGTTGGACCTGGTTAGTCATGTATTGCTAGAATCCAGCTCCCAGTGCACAATGCTTAACCACTGTGCTATGAAGCCAACTCAGCCTTTATTCTTTTTAAAAATACACTTTATATCTATTTTTGAACCCTCCATAGAGCTGTAATCAATTAGGGAATCAATAGTGGCCTATTTACAGATTCAACTCTCCTAGCCATCTCCAGGCCTACATGGAGAGCCAACAGTTTACATGTCTGTCTGTCCTCCTGGATAAGAGCTGAACTCTCTGCTCAAGCATGTGCATGTGTGGTGGACAGCGGAGGAGGTAAAATGCCTATGAGATGACAGACCCCTTGTGAACTTCAGAAACATGCTCAAGGCCAGCACCTGGGACAGGGATTCTGTGAGCTGTCCATGGGCTAGCTCATCCTCTTGTCACCGCTAAGGTGACTGACAGCCTGTCCAGCCCCAGCCCAACAACAAGGCCACTTGTTTTAGTTAATGTGATCTTGGAAGGGGCAGTCATGGGTAACTTCGTGAGATATCATTCTCCTGTGTAAGGCAACACTATCTGACGTCACCTTTGACAGTGCTGCATAAGCCAGTGGCCTGAGTGTCCCCTGGGCTGGCTTTACAGCTCAGGAGCAACTTA